TCTAAAGTCCAGACCAGTGTGCTAACAGGAGGCAGTGTCCTGCAAAAAGGAAGAACTGGAGTAGGCTCAACACCCGTGGTTCTTTCTTCTAAGAACATACCTGACTGTACACCAGGCAAACCAGTTAATTCCTGAGCTACTGTTCTCTCACCTCTAACACAGGGATAATACCACAAGAATGGGATATAAAAGAACCTAGTAAATTCTTAAGCACTGCACACAAGCAAGAATGTACTGTAGTGTTAATCATTCTGAAGAGCAATAACAAGTATCCATTTTTATGCCACAGAAATAAGAGTAAAATAATCATAGAATTTCAGTTTTATAAACTGAAATCTCTTATAGCATAGAGCTTATTATGGCCCACTGAAATGCCTATCTAAAATTAAAATCCTATTAGGGCAACTAAAGAAGAGTTTGGAAATCTGTAATAGGAGAGCTGGAAGGACTCTTAAAATAACATTCTGATCCAAGCTACTCATTTTACAAACATCAAAATCCAGACATTTCCCCAAGGTCACTTGATAATATGTGGTAATATGTAAGCATTAAAATGCAAATTTCACGAACTATGAAATAAGGGCTCCTCCAAATTGTTGATGGTATTTGAAAGAACTAGACTGTACAAGGCCAAAGAGCTTCTGAGTTCATTTTGCAAATGCACAGATCCCTAAACTACAATGGGATAACTTAGCCCTCCAGTTCTTTGTATCACCAGGAAAGCAAGTACCACTGTCACTGTGCCATAAATAAACGGTAACTATTTCTGACTCACTAGTGAGGGCATTCCTTGTTCCCTTTGAAAAAGTTTCTAGCTGCTCCCACAACTCTCTCTCCGTGATATGGTTAGGATGAGAACATGTGGATCTCCAAATAGCTTTCTGGAGAATTTGCCACCCTAGCTTACTTGAACTTACTGGGGGCAGAGGTACACACCTTAAGCCAATTTTAATTTCTGTGGGTAGTGAGGTCTTAATGTAAATATTTTCAACCTGAAATTAGAAATGAAGGATATTTTTTAAATACCCAATGCATTTACCCTCTTCTCTCCTTGTTCTGGAATGATCTTGGCCTGTTACTGGTCTCACCCACAGGTGAGAATAAACCACAAATGACTCAAGATACATCAAAGAAAAGAACCCTCACTTTATTTTTTTAGTACTGAGAATCTGAATCCCCAGCCCTCACGGTGAACTACATACAGAGTTTCTTATTTTTTATTTTGAGACAGGGTCTCCCCGAGTTGCTAAGTTACCTAGGCTGGGCTTATACATGTAATCCCTCTGCCTCAGTTTCCCAGCTGTTGGGATCACAGGCATGCACCATCACACCCAGTTCCTGCATTCTTAATGCTAAAGAACACAGCTGTTCTTTAAACCTTTGACCAGTGTAAAAGTTGTATTCATCTACTCTGTTCTAAACAAGAAAAGTAAATAACAATAGCTAAAATTACAGACAGAGAACTGTGTGGACTTTCACAGTGCAGATTCCTACTAAATGTACCATCAAAGGAAAACATCTTAGAAAGACAATTCCATTCTAAGATGCCAAGAAAACCACTGGAGCCATTTCCAGCACCTAATGTTTGATTTCTAAATACTTACAAAACACTACATTAGATTGAAAAGGGAATGGTGCCTAGACAAAATAAGAACATTCTTCAAAACAGAAAAATGTTACTCTTTATGGAAAAAACATAGGTTAAAATGATGCATACATACATGCATATGCTCTAGCTTAATCCTAATCCTAATTATGAGTGCTTATAAACCATTTCCAAAGAATTCCCTTTGCTCTAAGCAGAGGAGCACCAACATTAAGGAAGAGAATTCAAGGATTACAGCTTTCAACTTTGAATTTCTGTGAAAATCTGAATTTGAATGAACCAGGTCAAACTGACCCTCCCTTTGTTCAAACCAGTAAAACTCCTAACGTTATCATAGCAACAATCGCTAAAGAAGGAGCAAAGAGGCACATTCGCCCAAATGGAATGTGCAGGTGTTTCAGATTAATGTGCCTCTCGGGGACCCTGACAGCAGCCCACCTGGCCCCTCCAACTCCACCACCATAAGAACCCTGAAGTCAACGGGCATGAATACAAAGAAAATAAAGTGGAAAAAATAAACTGAACACAAAACTAAAAGAGAAGCTGGGAGGGTTCACCACGGACTTAGACTTCTGATTAGCTGTCGAATTAATTTCATGGTCAGTAACAAATATATATCAAGCCTTCTGGCCTAGAGACAGAGTGTGAGAAAGACAAGACCCCTGTCCTCACATAATGAATGAACTCCTGTAGAGATGGACAACACGTACATAGGCACAAAGATGCTGAAGCCAATAAATTCAGGACTGGGGTAGGAAGTCTGGGCCCCTGGACCAGCAGCCGCTATGATCAGTGTCGGAGTCTCCTGGGGTATACTGCTGAGAATCAGCAAAGGAGGAGCCAGGCATGCAACCAGCTAGGGGAGCAGCTCTACACTGGAAGTATCCTCTGCACACTATGCGGTTACCTAAGGCACAGGCACACAGTAAAGGGAAAGAAAGGGCCGGAACTCTGGCCAGCCACGCCCAGGTCTGAATGACCCACAGGCCCATCCAGTTTCTCCAACGGAACATGGTCTCCCACCAACCATCACCCACTGCTACACCCTCCAGACTCAGGAAGCCAAAGGAGAGGGCTCACAGGACAGAGGGAGACAAGGGAGGAGAAACATCACCAAGGGGAGGCTGCCTTAGAGCCACCCCTGGCATCATGAAACTGTCCCCTTTATGCAGAAAAGAAAACTAGGTTCAGAAAGGTACGTGGCTTGCATAGATTCCTACAGCTCCGAAGTGATGAACTAGGGCTATCTGACTGGCACTTCCAATTTCTTTCATTTCAGCACATTCATTTTTTTAACGTAACAAAAGCATTTGGCACAGGTTATGATGGAGTACTATTTTTATCTGCCATATTCATTTTTTTACTTTCATACATACATATAACGTCTTTTGATCATATCTACCCTCCTTTATCCTTCCCTCTCCCCGCTCTCCCTTTCTCTTATATAAGGATAATTTCCCTTCTACTTTCACAGCATATGATGTTTCAAAGGTTCATGTGAACTGAGCATTCCTGATGTATAACACTGATGAAGGCTCAAATGACCTCTCGATACAGAAAATTCTCCTAGTAGAGCTCCTAAAACTTAATTTATCCTCTTTACAAATCGTCACTAACATTTTAAAACAATCTCTATATAACTTTCTCAGTACATAGGTCACAGCAGCCGAAACTATAAAAGCTCAAAGGCCCAACAACATGATATAAACTGATGAAGACACAGAAATATAATGGAAGATTGTTTAGAAATTTTAAATGCTAAACAGACTCCTATGTGGAAACAAAATATTAGCTGATATTGACTAATTTAAGTAAAAAAATCAAAATGCAACACAGTCTATACACACTGGCTACAATTCTGTGGCAAAGTACATGGTCTCTTCAACAAAAATTCAAAGGAAATTTTAAAAGATGCTTCTTAGTAGCATTTTCACTTAAAGTTGCTTAAGTCCACATAATAAATGTATAAGGCATTTTCCAAAAAGAAAATAATGTTAGAGAAATAAATGTCTTAAAAATCTACCAGAACACATATTCTTTTCATCAGCAGGACTCTACAGAGTACAAATATCACCTAGAGATTTTTGTATTTTAACTCAATTTTACTACTCCAGCATTTTAATACTGACCCAATAGGAAGGTAATTCCTACAACCAAACATTAAACATGAGCCAAAATATTTCTGCAGAAAGTATAATCCTAGACATTTGCAGCAAAACAATCCCGTTTTGTAAAGATAAAATAGACCATAAAGCTTACCCAAATCCTCATTTTCTCCTGTCCTGCTCTCTAATGTGCTCAAATGCTCCACTGATAACTTATTTAAAGGAGTTTCACTAAATGCTACAATTGATGGAGTTGTAAAATGCTATCTACATCACTTTGTGGAGCTAAATAGCATTTTAGTTAAATCTTTCAAGATCATCATCAATCCACTATTGAGATCCACAATTTGGATACTTTAAAAATTTTTCAAGATGATTCTTCTCTTTGTATTTGGTTTTTTGTTTTGTTTGGTTTGGTTTTTATTACTGAAATTGCAGTCTGTTTAAGATGAACACACACACACACAATGACTTTAAAAAATAAGGTAACCTCATTTCACAATGAATGACAGAAAAATACAAAGATATTTTATACAGAAAAAATTTAAGTACTCTTCAATTCAAAATGAATTTTCTAGAAAGTTTAATAAATTCCACTGGCAATTTTCTATTTTTTTACAATAGATTGTCAAAATTAGGATAGCAATTGGGAATGTGCTCAATGCCACTGTTGCACATTTTGAAAAGGTTCATTTTGTGATATGAATTTACCTCAAAGCAAAAGATAAAGTAACTTGCATATCTCTATATTATTTGAAAAATACAATATTTATATGACAAACATAACACAGCAATTCTAAACAAAATTCTGAGGTTGTCCAACTAAAACATTCCTAGAATAAAAAGTCACATGTTGTGGTTAATATGTGAGATTTTCTTCTGAATAAAGAAGAAAAGAGAAATGTGGAGGTGAAGGAAATGGTTTAGCAAGACCAGATGGACTGCAAGTTAAGAATGTTTGAAACTGCTGATGGGTACAAAGTTCACTATATTGTTTCTTCCACTTTAGAGGCTTTTAAAAACTATATAGTAAACAACATTTTTAAAATTCTATCTCTAGAGTGAATCGAATTTCTTGAACTAGAAACACAAGTATAGCACTGTGTCAAAAGTTTAAAGTGAATCAGGAAATCAACAAAACTATCATCATACTGTTTAAAAAATCTGACTTCTACTCTTGTACAGTGTTTTAATGAACAAGAAAGCTGAAATATTTCTTCAATGGTTATCTGAAAAGAGACTTCACATTGTAGCACATCTGGGTAACAAGCTGTTCCATCAGCACATACCAGCAGTATCATGGGCCTTTTCCAAGTTGTTAATCCTATGATTCCAGAGAGTATCACCTGTAAGGATAAAAAAGTGTCATCATTTTAGAAAAATAGACCAATTTCAAAAAAACACTTCTCAGTCTCAAAAGTAGGAATGTTTAAAAGACCGAAATTTCAAAGCATTTTAAGTCATGTATAACACTGCTGGTGAACCATGATAGCCCACTTTGGATTATCTTTCACTTTTAAGCCCACAAAGCTTTTTCATCAACTTGTGTATTTTATAATGTCAATTAAGAATACAGCAACAGAAATCAGCCTCTCCTTCCAGTCAGAAAAGCATTTCCGATTGAGTTCCCTGCTCCCAGGAGTACCCATTCATCCAGCTCAGAGTGGCACAGAGACGCACACCTGCCTTACCTCTCCCTCTATAGGGGGACGCCTCTGTGACACAGGGAAACACGCCTGAATGGTAGACAAGACCCTTGAGAGCCTTTGCTCACCCGTGTTCCAGCCTGGTTTCCACTCTCACCCACCACACGCCTTCATGCCAGCACACCGGTCCATCTGCCGTCCAGCCAGGCCTTCGACATCCCTGGCTGTGCCTCTTCCTCTCGGCCACAGTGCGCTCTCCTCCCAAGGGCCCTCACATTCATCCTAAATCATAGTAATCTGAGAAGTCTTCACTGTTCCTACCATTCCCTACCCTGGGCAGCCCTCTGTACACAACTATTTTAAAAAAAAACAAAACATTTCTCTACTGCAATCATTTGAGAAGTACATCTCTGCATTGTCTACGATAGACTCTTCTTTTCTTGTCTCTGAAACTCTAAGCTATAACCATAGTGCCTGTCATACGGTCGCACCTGATGAAGGTTCCTAAGCATTTTTTCTGCAAATTGGGGGGAGCTACAAAGACATGCTGCAAAATGACACTTGAACAAACAACAAGTTAAAGTTCAGTAAAGAAGAACCAGCATGCTGCCAAAACACAAAATGGACACCAAAGGCAGCTTTCTGGGTAACGCAATTCATGACGCTACTGAGGAAAATAAAGTCACTGTTCACTCTGGAGAGATCCCCGTGCCACCTGGGAACATTCACCTTTGTATAATAGTTACCTTTGTGTAACAAGGTGCATCCACTGAATGCAGTTAGGAAGATGTTCCTTCATGTGTACATTTTACTTGCCAAAATCCCCCCAATTTACAATTACTGTTCATGAACTCTAAGCCAGTATGGATTTTACAAAATCACTTCAAATTCAAAGCACACAGGCCAGCTTGCAATATCCTCTGTTCTCACTGAGACTGCATCACTCCACAACACCAAACCAACAGAGGACAAGTCTGCTTCCTCCTGCCAAGGACCAAAAATCAGGTACAGGCAGATGGTGACAATGTCTTTGCATTCCATCTGTGTTTACCTGTGCTACTGGCGATCTGCTTACCAGGGACTCTATCCTGACAGTCCCCTTAATTCCAGTAGGGCACTGCCTCTTCCTTGCCAGCTTCTTCCTGGAGACGCTCTGGGTGTGTACAGCTCACCCTGGGTGTGTACAGCTCACACTGGGTGTGTGGGCTGTGTCTATGTTACACACTGGAACCTCAACCCATGACACCTGGGGCTGCAGCCTCTCACTCAGCTTTCAAGGTGTCAGGACTCACCTTCCGCCAGGTCATTTCTGTTTTCAGGCCGTCCTTTTGGTTTCCTGAGAAATGGTGGAAGTGATGGAAACCACAGTGTCTCTTCTACTCAAAAGCTAACCACCTCTCATGACAGTACATTTTCAGAAGCACCAGGATCCAGTATGCCAGCAAGTGTACACGTGTGTATATGTCTGTGTGTGTTTACCTGTGTGCCTCCCTGCCTGCTCACCCTGCTGCCTACTAGAAATGCAAGCTGTGTTTGGGAAAACATGACATAATTGGCATGCTTTTAAGGAAAATAGACTGTTCATTCCAGTAAATAATAACAACAATAATAAAAATATAACCATGTTTTGAATTATCCCTTGATGTTTGTTACTTATTTCCCTGGTCTCCCTTAATACCAACCTCTGCGGTTCAGCTTTCTGTAACACTATTTTATTCCATTAGAACAATATTATTAAGGTGAAGTGTTTGGTTCAGCCCATAAAAGCTCACAGAACAGTGATTCACCCCAGCTATGCTTTCTACTCTGGCCTCAGCGACAGTGTTCCACCTCCTCCAGAGTCACACAATTTGTGTACAGAGGTATGTTTTCAAAAAAAAAGAAAGAAAGGATCATAGAAGATATACTTTCCTTGTCTCTTCTTTTTCTCAGTAAGTACTTCCTAGAATCTCTTAAGGTGCACTGGAATAGCTGTAATCCATTTCAGTTTAAGGACAACATAATATCCCACTGTCTGGGTGGACCTAAGGTATTCAATCCTTCCCACACTCGTAGGTATTTGTTCTATTTCCAGTGTTTTATCTTTAAAAACAAGAATGTGCCTCTGTTAGATAAACCTAGAGCTGCTAGGTTTAAAGGCTTTCCTATTTTTTATTTTAAATGATTGCAACAGGTAATACTATCATTTCAAATGAAAGGTTTCTGAGACATAAGAACTCTGTTATCTTGGGGCTGGGGATTTAGTTGAGTGATATAAGAACCTGCCTGGCAAGCACAAGGTCATGAGTTTGATCCCTGGTACAAACAAACAAACAAACAAACAAAAAAACTATGTTATCTTCATTTTTCCTTTTGAAAGTGACATTTTAAAATATACACATAAAATTGCTGGCCGTGGTGATATATAACTAATCCCAGCGCTTTGGGAGGCTGAGGCAGGACAATCACAAATTAGACTCCATCAGGGGCAGTTCAGTGAGTTAGTGAGACCATGGCTCACCATTTAAAACCACACAAAAAGGCTAGGGATGAGGCTTAGTGCAAAGACCCTAAGTTCAATCCTCAGTACAAAAAGAAAGAAAGAAAAAAATTATAAAATGAATGCTAGACAAGAACTATCAGTATTCCAAAATATATATGTGACAATTTATGTCCTTGACGGGACAAACCTTATAGAGCAATATTAAACGAAGGCCCACAGGAGTCGAGACATACACTGAGTTCACAGATCAGAAGTCAAACTATTCAGACGTCACTTCCATTTGAAGCACTCACAGACTCAGCATACACTCCAGCTAAATCCCGTCGGGACTTGTGTCCACCGATCTTGTCTAAGACCCTGCAAGAAACCACAACCAGCTCCAGGATGTAGCCACATCATTCTCCACTCTGAAACCTGCAACACTGGCACCACACACTGGCTTCCCCCTCCCTCTTTCAAGCTCAATGCATCCCTAAGGCACTGGAGCGAGCCCTGTGAGCAGGTAGGCGGAGATGAGCAAACACCGGAACAAGGGCTGCAGGATGAGAAGCCTCTGGAATGGTGGTGGGAACAGAAGTGCTGCAGGTTTGAAAGATGAGCTCAGGACTTACGGGATGGAAGCTCACGTTTCTTCTAAAGAAGAAAAAGTCATGAGTGAGCACGGAGACTGGGGAGGAGCAAAAAAAAAAAAGCAGAGTCCTCAGTACCTCTCCCTCTCTGGTGGCAGCAGTGGCTGGAGGTCGTCCATCAGAAGGAACTCAAGAAGGTCCCTTGGCGGTGGCCTTTCCTGGCTAACTTTATGCCGCAGCACGACCACTGCTTCTTTATCTCCCAAGGGCTCAGACCTGCGAGTCCTCACTCAGGGGCCACCACCAGCTCCTAGAAGGCCAGTGAATGCGTGAATGGAGACCAGGAATAGGAGATGAGCTCGCTTCAAGATGACCACGTAAGCCTATGCACATTGTCATGTCCTGTGCTTCCTGCAAGAGGACACCAGCAGCCGAAAGCAACTCCTTCAGCATTCGGGCCACCCAGCACAAGATGCAACTTGCCATGAGTCGACAGACAAGAACCTATTTTCCAAAACCAAACTATCTCTATATTATTGTAATGAGACTTATTGAAATTTTTACTTTACATACTTGTAACTATTCTTTGTAGCTTATGGAAAAAGTAGAGACCTTTTTTCTGAGAATGCCCAGGTAACCTCTGAGATGCTCCGGGCAAGAGTTGGTGTTACTCACCATGGATGGTCACTGCCTTAATTTTACAGCTTAAAATCAAGACACTAAGATCAAAAGCTTATAATTCTGCTGCCCTATTTTCCTTTGCTAATCCACTAACAAGCCCTAGGGCAGAAACGTTCTGCATCATTTGTCAAAAGCTACTACATGTCTACAGAGAGGGTTTTTTTTTTAATTACATTGTAAAATGTCCCATGTTTACCTTGTAAATAAGCACCAAAGAAATTATTGAATCTTTCAACAATCTCGTCTGCCTAACAACTTTTACACTAGGAATTTCGAAAAGTGTATCAAAGAAACTCTTCCCTTTCTGTCTAGCTTGAGTCACTTAAAAAACTGAGCACATGAGCAACTTGCTATTTCTAATGTATACATGACAGCTACCACAATGCCCTGCAAAACAAATAAACGGTCTATCACTTTACTTTGATGTCACATTGCCTTAGTGTTTAAAAAACACTGAAAGGTTCTAGTACACGCCAGGCCTGGTGCTGGTGTTCATTAGTTAGCAAAGCTCTCCCTGTAAGTTCTCTACTTCACCTTCCCCAAAGAACCCCTGAGGTGAGATACCCCACTCACTCTACAGATAAACAACTGAGGCCAAGCAGTTGTTATGCAAGGCACAGAACTTAAAATGTGACTCTTCTGTCATGTAAAATACAGGACTGGGAAAAAAAAAAACGATAAACCCAAGAGGTATACTTCTGATGTATTTGATGAGTATGATAGAAAAAAAATATATTTACTACTGTTTGACTGGTAAAGACTTCAGAATTTTCCCTTAGTTTTTCTCATAGGTCATCCGTTCTTGTTTATATTTGGTCCTTGCAAAATTTCTTTTTGAAGTTTACTTTAGATGCTGTCTCTTTATAAGCAAACAGAATCTTACCAAGGAATCATGGACCCAGGAGAGGAGTGATCAGAGTCCAAACTACTGATTTAAAGCAGAGAAAAAACTGTATACAGGTGATAAAGGATATCCTGAGAAGAACAAAAAGCAATAACCAATTTTCTGCCACTTGTCGAAATATTCTCCCAACCTGCTAACAAAATCAGAAATTTTGTCTTTCTGAAGTAGGAAAGACAGACCAACACAACTCTCTCTACACTTTAAACTCAGCTCAGTGTGCTAGGCAAGTTCTCCCATAATCTGAAGAATCCAGTTCCTATGAAATAAATGACACTCCCCCACAGTTAAGATCCAGGACAACACGGCTGAACACAGGCACCGAGCCCCTGCCTTGGCCACTTACCACTTGGGGTTCTCTCAAGTTCTCTTAGCATCACGAGTGTTAGGACTAATACTATCTTGAGTTGTTAATCAAAGACACCAGTAAGAAAACAGATGATCATAGAATTCTCAGAAAACAAAAAGTACATTAAAAATGTTCCTTTCATTTGCTGAAAATATGAACGTGTGGTATGGGAAAGACTAAGACCTGTTAATTCTTACACATGTTTTTAAAGAGATAAAATATCTTTCAGGGTTTAGACAAGGGAAATAAGCCTCAAAAGTTTGAAGCTCAGAGTGAGAACTCTTACCAGGGAATACATGGAAAAATGTCCTTGAACTATGGCTGCTTACCAAAATAGTATTTCAAATGAATGTATTAATCCCCTGAACTTAATTTTATATCACAAACATGAACAATATTTTTACTGAAACCAAAAGATTTACCAGTGTGGCTGAGTTAGCAGGATATAAAGTACATAATGGTCATTCAAGACTTGAAACATGAGGATATTCTTCTGCTGTGCTCCTGTGTGGGCCTGAAGTAACTTTAGACTTAAGCTGGCACTTTTCACTCAGCGCCTTAGTTTCAGGTGCCAATAAAACTTCCCAGCAGGGCTGGGGTGTAGCTCAGTTTTACAGGGCTTGTCAGGGGGCTGGGGGATCGGGGAAGACAGGGAACATGCTAAGTCCATAAAATGGAGTCACTCTATAACCAAAGATAATAAAGTACTAATAAGTGCCACAACCTGGATGCACCTTGAGAAAATATTACAAATTAGTGATAAAGGACCACGTATTACAACAACCCATTTATGTACAAATCTACAGGATCAGAAAGGTGGTTAATCAGTGGTTCCTGGACAGAAGAATGGAAGGGGGAAAAGAATGCTCATAACTTTATAAGATGATGAAAATTCTCCAAAACTGACTATGATCATGGCTGTACACCTGTACATTTTCTAAAAACCATTTTAATGGTTTTCTTTAAACATGTAAATTATATAGATGTTTTTTAATTTCTACAGTCCACAAGTCACTACTTTTTGGCTTTTTTTTTTCCAAGAAAGCTATGGTTAAGCTATCTCTAGATTAGCTGTACTATTAAGCCCTTTCTTTCAGAAATACACACTAAAATACTTGATAGTGGAAGTTATGCCATCTGGAGTTTGCCTCAATATAATACAGGTGGGTGTCAGGAGGTGGGTGTCAGGTGGAGGAGTAGTACCAGTACAAAGTGACCAGGCCTTGACAGCTACTAAAGGTGGAGATACGTTTCTTTCTACATTTGGTAAGATGTTAAAAATGTTTATAATGAAATGTTAAAAGTGGAAGGAGGGTCTTAAAGATGTCTTGGTCACTTCCACACTCTGGATATATTTTCCTTTCTAAACAATATGCACATTGAAACATTTACACACAAAAGAATGTGCCTGAGAATTACTTCAAAATAATACGGGAATATAATCTGACAAACGAACCAGGGAGCCTGGAGGATCTAATTCCTACCCGACCTGGAATACGTATGCTTCTGGCATCTGTTGGAACATACAGGACCAGCAGAGCTCAAGATGGGGGTACAGACCAAACCATGGCTAACCTGCAGTAAAGGATAGTGTGGGTTCATTGGACAGTGTTGATGTAAATCTAAATTTTTCCACAGTACAGTGTTTTTTAAAGCTGCTCACCTATTAAGTCATCAAGAGAATTTTTGTGCCTAAACTCGCTATTCAACTCAGGCTGGCCTTAACTTACTAAGATATATCCCAGGCTAACTTTGAATTCATGGAGATCCTCACACCCAACATCACTTTGCAAACTCTGAGGTCAACCTCTGGAACAGGTCGCAGAAAAGTTAAGAATAACCTACAATCACAGGGTTGCATACGGCTTCACCACCAAGCAAATGGCTTCACCATTCCAAACTCCCAATTCTTTCCCCATTCTGGTGTGCTTGAGCCTGGGGATCAAGGCCAGGCCCAACCAGGAAGCCCAGGGTATTAGCTTTCACCTTCTGGTTGACAATCTTTGTATTATACCTCATCAAATCCAATTCAGATTTAACTGAGATCTGAGTGCATTGATTTACCTCTGAAATAATTCACAATAGTAAAATGATCTCAGAGTTTAATTTTAGAAGAGAAAAATTGTTTTTAATAGCCCTAAACTGACTATATTTGAAAAACAACAGATTATGATTTTACAAAGAGCAAACTGTAAAAAAATATATATATATATGTGAGACTGTAGCCTGTAGTTTTTACAGAAACTAAAATGCAGCCCCCATTTGGCTGAATGAAGCCACACAAGTGGAGGAGATGGCACAATAGGTGGCATTGCTAGCCTGTCTGGTATTCCCACCCTTTGGGGATTTTCCCAGAACTGGGAGGACAGCGGTATTGTCCAGGGACAGGGCTACCAGGGTGGGACTTCCTCTACCTGGCCCCTCACTGTGAATTTCACTCACCATGGCACAGAAAGTACCTCGAAGTGAAAGTATTTCCAAAGAAGTGCAACTGGCACTGGTTTCAGGAAAAGATTCCGGTTAGGCTCGAGGAACCTCGTTTTATTGAAACAATCACAATAGGTTCAATTATTCTTCCTACAGTCTTAAACTTCGATCTCAAACCGGGTATATGTAGACCTGCAAAAGCACTTTCTACCAGACATACACTTTAGTGCAAATCTCAGTGCAAAACCATAGGCAGCTCCAGGCTTTCAGATTTCATTAATTCATAGGAAGATCATTGACTGTACTCATCTTCCATAATCATTCCACAGAGCCCACAGCCTCTGAGCCTCTCCACCCTCCGACAACCTAAGAGGGTCCGATGCCTTCAAAGTTGGGAAACCGTAAGGAGGCGGAGACAAGTAGCCATTCAGGGTCCATGGATGCTTGCTCCAGGCAGCGGCCTCCAGGATCAGCCTTCCCGGCTGAACGAAGAAACAGGACCGGGTTCTGGAGCAGGGCTGACGTCTCTGGGTAGCTGCCCAGCAGTGTCTGGAGCTCTACCAAGCTCACCCATAATGACAGGTTCTGTTTCTAGAGACTCAAATGCTGCAAGTCAGCCAGAGAGAGGCCCCAGGAACCCACTGGGGGTGGGGTCGGGGCTCCTTTAATGATGAGGTACCAGCAGGCAGTTACTGACACAAACCTCTCATTACCTCTGAATTCTGCCCCAAATACAGCCACGCCATCCCACCCAGGTACTCTTCACATTCAGGAGTGTTAAAGAATAAAGAATAAAAACAAATGACAGGCCAGTCCACCTGTGAGTCCATTCACCCCACAAACGTATGCACCGTCCATGTGCCATGCACTGTTGATACATCTGAGTAGAAAACAGATCCAAACCCCGGCCCTGGAGCTGAGTTGGCCAGTGCCATAAGTACTCAAGAGCCACAAAAGTTTTTAATCACCTCCCTCCCCATCTCACCGTGAGCTGGATACGTTTGTTTTACAATACTAGCTTCACAGGGACAATAAAATCCTTTGGAGTGCGAAGAACTTTGTCCAGGTGCAACCCAATTCCCCCTTCAACTTGACTGTCTCCCAACATATTTCTCCACTTTCCACGCTCGAATCTTTAAGGGGCCTAAAGGGTCTCCAACTGCAGCCCGGAACGAGGGGAGAGGGTGCTGGTCAGAGCCCCTGGCCCCTCGGTGTGCCCTGCCGAGGCAAGCGGGGCGCGCGCGGCACTCACCGAGGAGCCGGCCCAGAACGGACAGGAGTTCTTCACCTGCGGAGAGCTGCTCAGCGACAGCGCCCCGAAGCTGAGCGCCACCATGCAGCAGCCGAGGATCAGCTGCAACAGCCCGAGCGACAGCAGCGGGCGGGCGGGCAGCAGCGCGGAGCCCGGGGCCGCGGCAGCGGCGGCTGCAGCCCGGCGGGCAGAGAGCGCGGGCGGCGCGCCCAGCACCCCGGGGGCGGCGGCGGGGGCCGCGCAGCGAGGCCGGGCCGGGGGCTGCAGCGCGCCGCGGGGCCAGCGTGGCCGCAGCGGGGGCAGCGGCGGCTCTTGGGCGGCCGCAGCGGAGGCGCTCGGGCCCCCGACCTGCGGCCCCCCGGAAAGCCCCGCCACGGGGCAGCAGGAGCCCGGGAGCACCACGGGCAGAGACATGGACGGCGGGGAAGGTAGCGGCCGGCGGCGGCGGCCGGGAGGAGACGCGCGGCGCAGGGAGGCGCGGCGGAGGGCGCCACGCACTGGGCACCGCGGGCGGGCGGGCCGGCTCCGGCCGAGGGGGAGGGGAGGAAATGCGCACGGCCCAACCACTTGCTGCCGCCGCCGCAGCCGGGGCCCCGCCGGCCGCACCCACCTGCCGCCCGCGGCCCGCCTCCGCCAGCCTCGCCCTCGACCTAACCCGCGCCCACGCGCGCCCCGCGCCGCGCAAGTTCGCCGGGGCCCGCGGTCGCCGCAGAGCCCTGTCCGCTTCCTAGCGTCCAGGAAGAGCGCCTGCCCGCCCCAAATCCTCCGTCAGTTCACTCGAGTCCCCAGAGCTGAGGGGAGACCCAGCAGCCTGGAGCTGACCCCCGACACGCTAGGCTTGGCCCAGCCGCCGAGCCGGGGCTGGAGAGCGGCGCCAGGAAAGCGCTGCAGACGCGGACCCGAGCCCCTCCACGGTGCATTGGAGACGGGGACCTCGGCGACCCTTGCTAAGAAGCGAGTCTCTAGTTCTCGGCTCCCTCACCCTGCGAGGGCTGTGCCAGCAGGAGGGGCTGCGGGGCGACTCGGTGGGAAGAGGACTCAGCCGAGGACTTGGGGGGCCGGGGGGAGACCGCCGGAAGTTACTGCTCCCGGGGCTCGGGACTTGTCTGCACCTCATCCACGACTGGACGCCGAGAGGGGCTCTGCGCGGTCCCCAGGCTGCTGTCCCGGCCCCTGAGCGGGAGCGAGAGAGAGACGGCCAGGTCACCTAGGAGTATACCGCCAAAAAGAAAGCACCCCCCACACCTGGTGCGCATGGCATGGGTTAAGCTCCCACTCCTCCTTACTTTGACTCACGACTTTTATTAGCATCTCTCGGTAGAACATAGAAGCCCAAACTTCCAAGGAAATGGTTTAATAAAATCATAATCTACTTTAGTAATTTATAGGACATCATTAGAGCTATGGGGGGGAAAAATTCACCTTTGCAAAATGACTTCCCCTAACAGTGTGCCTTTCCCCTAGGAAGAATTGTAATGCCTGCAAAGTATCATGCATAAGATGATTGTAATGGATTTTCCTCCAGATAAGAACCAGAGCGGTGTCAATTTGCAGTCAGCCCCAGTATGAGCAAGCTTGTCTTATCGGTAAGGTGAGGGTGTTTAATATCCTGCTCAATAAACCAAGGGAAATGAGTATCCGTTTTTATGCTCCGCTGGTGAAGGCTTTGTTTATTTTGGTCATTACTTAAACCACAATGCGCTGTACTTTCAGTGTGCATATGTTTACATATACATCTGAATTATTAAAGCACCTGTGATTAACAGTCTTTAGAACTTCTTTTATAGACTGTTCTATGGAATAATATAGACTGCTCTCTGGAATGCACTTCAGATCCTGGAAGAAAAAGTAGATGCCTTTTAAAAATTAACATTTAAAGTTTGTTGTTTCATGTGTTTTAAAAACCTATAGTTAAAAAAACCTACTGAATGTAATTAAATTGCAATTGATGATACATTAAAAGTTTCTTGGGTGCTCAAGGTTATACCCTTATGTACAAGCTTAAAAGTTTTTTTTTTTAATTTTAAAAATACCCTGCATCATGCAATGCAGACATGTGCCTGAGTGTTAGGACATCCTTTCCACTAAACAAATCTATTGGCCAGTCCTTGATACCTGAAACTTCCTATTAAAAATGCATACCTTGTGTCTAAGAATGTTAGCAGTCAGGATATCCTCCTTCCCTTGAGGAAGTTTTGACTATGAAAGGGGCTGGGGGGATGTGGGTACTAATTACAGAGATGAGTTTCACTATGAAAATGTATAGTTACACTTGTGATTTGTGCACTTCTCTGTATGTGTTTTATACCTAAGACACCTTACAGCATTTCTAAAAACTCAGAAGTTTCTATTTTCCCCAGACAGCTGATACAGGAAGTATTAAAATCCATTTTTATCTAATAATAGTGTGGTTTATTTTACAGCCAGTAATCTTTTTCCAAAGTACTTAAGGTTGTTGTACTACCATTTTGTTGTGGTTGTTGTTGTTACTGGCTACATTTATGTTGTTGTAACTGTTTCTGATTATCAAAATCACAGATGTATATAATGTTGTTCTAATTTCCAAGGTTATATGAATAACACTCTTTTTGTATTTGGGCTTGAGATTTTTGAATGCTCCCCACCAAATAATTATTGCTTATAATAAATCTGTAGTCATACTTGGTCAAGCCATATGTAACCATGCTCTCATAGGATGATTCACAGTAACTGATACTAGGTTGGCTTTAAAAAGTACAGTGAAGACTGGAAAACAGCCTGGCAATTCCTCAAAAAGTTACAAATAAATATCGCCATTCGAGAGGCTGAGGCAGGAGTCTCAAATTTGATGCTGGTCTTAGCCCAAAATAAAATTGAAAAAAAAAAAAAGGAGAGAGACAGTTGAGAATATAGCTCAACGGTACAGGATTTGCCTGCCATGCCCAAAACCCCTGGATTCAATTCTCAGTACAAAAAAAAAAAAAAAGTTAAACATAGAGTTTCAAAAGATGGATGAATGTATAAACAAGTAGACTATCTAAATAGAATATTTTCATCAGTAAAAGAGGAATGACGGGTTGTACATGCCACAATAAGGGTGAACCTTGAAAACATGCTAAATGAAAGAAACCAATCACAAAAGACCATATTGTATGATTCTATTTACATGAAATGTTTGAACAAACAGATTCATAGAGATAGAAAGTAGCTCGGTGGTTACTGAGGGCTGGAGAAATTGGGAGGTGAGGAAAGGACAGTAGGACAGGAAAGGCTTTCTTCTAAGGTGATATAAGGATTCTAAAATCAGTTGTGATAACTACACAATTCTGTGACTATTCAAAACCCAATGAGCTTTACACTTTAACTGGGTGAATTGTACTTAGGACTTAGGATATGTGAATTATATCTCAATAAAGCTATTACCAAAAATAAGGAAGAACCAGTAGAAACCTGGACCCCAATACTCCATTAATGTAGGCAAAAGTGCAAGTTAACAATAGTTGCATTGTATTGTTTAGGGAACCCCAGCAGCCAGTTCTCCTGGTGATCAAAGCCAAATTCCAGGTACCTCCCACCAACTTCCCCTGCCCTGGGCCTCATTTTCCAAGCCTGCACTCAAAGCCTGCTGTACTGAGGGGTCTGCTCTCTGCTCCCCTTTCTCTGGTCATTTTCAAACCAACTCCTCAGCTCCTTTCACACTCCTCAGCAGACCCAGCCTGTCAGCCAAAGGAGGTTATTCCTGTCAGAGTGGCAGCTGCTCAAGAAATTCTTTCTTTAAAACACCTTCTCTGGCAACCTGCCCCCAGCTCTTACATTTCACAGAAAGAGAGGCACTGCTCTGAGGGAAAGCTCCAGACCCTGGATAATATGGTAGCTCGAGGCCAGCATCTCAGAGTAAGCCCTGCGGCCCACAGAACCTGCTGGGCAAGGAGGGCGACAGGGACGGGGTGCCAAAGTGAGTGTGTGGGCTTCCCCACATGCTTACGGAACCAGACACTCTGAACTGGAATACAAGCAACCTAACAAGCTTAGAGAAATGTCAGTACACGGTACTATTCAGACTCTAGAACTTTTATATGGGAATTTTTTTGTCTTTTTGGGACAGGGTCTCACTACGCAGATCAGGCTGGCCTTAGGAGCACTTTGTAGCCTAGGCCGGTCTCAAACTTGCAGTGATCCTCCTGCTTCAGCCTCTGGAGTACTGGGATTGTGAGCATGCACCACCATGCCTGGTGCAGTGTAGGAATTGTGTGGGAAGAAACTAGGGACAGAAAATTTTGTGGGAAGGGGATTTAATTTAAAAATAAAGTTATAGGGGGCTGGGGATTTAGCTCAGCGGCATAAGCGCCTGCCTTGCAAGCAGGCAGTCGTGAGTTCGATCCCCGGTACCAATAAAAAGGAAACAAACAAACAAACAAAAGTTATATGTAAATACAGGGTGGAGGAGGGGCTTCACGGATCCCCAGCCACACACTAGTGTGGGGTAACTTTTATACACTGGAATGTTTAGACTCCTGGGTTTATTTATTTATTTATTTATTTTTGTGGTACCAGGGATCAAACTCAGGTCCTCACACTTGCCAGGCAGGTGCTTATGCCACTGAGCTAAATCACCAGCCCAGACTTATGGGTTCTACAAGAAAGTAGGAACACACATTGTAGATTCTAGCCCTTCTCTGTTCTGTAATCTTGAATCATTCTGGAGCTTATCTGGCTGCAGTTGTTCCGTCAGCCTGAAGTCAGACTCACAGTCATTTGACTTTGCCTCATCTTGAGATTTTAAAATTCAGAAGTTCTAATCACCACAGTTTGGCAGATGACCAGAAGCAAACAAAGGCTAACAAACGCAGGTAAGTGGGGTACAGAGTAATTAAAACTTACTGACCCAAAATATCCAGGACAAGGGCTGGGCAGCTTTTCAAAAATTAAGAGAGAAAGAAAGAATGAATGAATGAGTGAAACTGACCAGAGCCTGGTGTCTACTGACAGTTAAGGAGTCTAATGTCTCTCTGTTTCCAAGTCACTTATTTGTTGAACAGCAGAGCTGCAATGACACTTCTGTCAATGCTGAAGTTAAGCCCTGAAAACTTACAATACAAATCCTACAAAGGACATTTCTAGCCAATTTCCCTAAAATTTACTCATGGCTCATAAATTTCTAGAGGAGAGTTGCGCATGGTGGTGTATGCCTATTATCTCAGCACTTAGGAGGTTGAGGTAAGAGGATCATAAATTTGAGGCCAACCTGTGCTATATAATAAGACCCCTATCTCAGGGGCCAGGGGTTAGCTTAGCAGCACGGTGCCTGCCTGGCAAGCGCAAGATCATGAGTTCAATCCCTGGTTCAAAAAACAAACAAACAAAAAATCTCAATGAAAAGGAATCCTAGGGGAGATAAGCTATATGCTATGCTTTATAGCTAGGTGTCCCCCAAGAGCCTCGTGTGCTCTTAGGTGGGATTTTGGGAAGATAATTACATTATTGGACTTATGGCTTGCTCTTAGGAGGTAGAATCTG